TCCAAAATTGGTTAATACAAATTTTGAATACATAGGAATTGAGTCTTTGCTACAAAAATGTCGTAGATCTTATGTATTTTAAACTATGAGTTATGTTAGATCAAATAAAATGAGGTTGAAATAGCAAAGGTTTACAATGTTGCAGGTTGCTCAGATATAGGAATTAGAAAATATCAGTTTGTGACAAAAATTTAAATTCATTTGTACAGTTTTTTCTTCAACAATGCAGTATACACTTAGCCTTAATCTTGCAGGATCAGCTGTTAAATATTTTGCAACATGGCTAAACTACCAGAAGGAAAAAGTTTGCAAAAAATATGCTAAATAAAATGCTTTTGAAAATGAAAACTTTCAAAACTTAAAAGTCTATGAATAAATAATACTAGAAAACAAGAAAACTAGAAAACTAGAAAACAAGAAAACAAGAAAACTAGACACCTAGAAAATCCGAAAACAAGAAAACTTAAAAAAACTAGAAAACTAGATTCCTTTTAATATTATTTTTAGCTACAGATCTTAAAACAAAATATTCAAAAATTCTTTGTAAAATGTTCCTTGTCTAAAAAAAAAATTATAAAAGGAGCGTGGGGACGCCCTAGGCTACTAGATTACGACCCCCCAACCTTTATTTTCGATCTGATCCCGTTATTTTATTTTTTTATTATTTTTACATTATATTCCATTTAGAGTTTGAGGTTTTTCCACTTACATCACTTGTGGATTTATATAGTAGAGAAAAAGAAGAAAATAGTTTTTATTTTTATAATTCTTTACATCTTAAAGGGACTTTAACGTCACTTTAAATTGCATTGCCAGTCCCTTTAATGACTGGTGAAACATATGCAAGACAATAATGTAAGCGTAGAAAATACCATGGGAAAAAATCTATTTATAATCTTAGATTATTTCTAAAATGTCAGTTAACAAGAATAGAAACGGCGTAGCTGAATCTGAATTATTCATGAAATCTAAAAATTCTACAGATTTCAAATTCCAGTCTATCATGTTCAACAGAATCTATGAGGGTAGAACAATATAAAGAAGAGGGAGGGGGGGGGGTAGTTTTGCTAACGCAGTTTTCGTTTAAAAAAAACGATGAAGGATAGTTCAAAGAAAAACTATACTGTTTTTGCTTTAACTACAAAAAAACCCCAAATGATTTAATTTCACCGTTTCCAGAAATGAATTGGTGACATTAACATTTGCTATCAAAATCAAGGAGAATTAAAAAATACCACTGCAATACAGTTACAGATCTTACTTAAAGCTAGTTTAACAAATGAACTGTTTCGTTTAGGTTTAATAAACTTCAAAAGGAAGAAATCTAAAGATGTTCATGCTAATTTGTGTAAACTTTACTTTGACATTTAAGCTCGACAGTCCTAGAAATAACCTTATTGTAAACAACAAAGACTGTGAATGAGCTTTAAAATAATGTAATATTGTATTGTAAACAACCTCCTTTCCGGAATTTCTTCCAAAAAATATAAAAATCTGATTGATTTATATAATAAGAAATATCAGAAACAAATTTGATCGAAGCAGTTTCAATATTTTCTCCTATAGTTATTGTTAAAGAAGATTGGAAAAATACAATTAACAAAACGTTGTCAAAATTGATGATGAGCCATAACCACAATTTTTGATTTGTTGATGATTCTATTTTTTTTTTTTTTTTTTTAATCTAAAATAAGATACGAGTAACTAAAACAAGAATAAAGGCACATCTTCAAATATACAAGTCAAAATGCAAAAACCGAGTCATTTCTTTCCAATTCATGTAATTCTAATTCTAATTCTAAAGTAACCAAAATTTATATATTTCAGAAGTATTCACTATTCACAAAACAGAGAATGAACTCGATCTGTTTCAAAATGTTATTTTTTTGTCTATAGCTTGAAAAACATTAAATTCCATAGGCTACAGTGATAACCAGAAAACTGTAGAATACGAAGACGACATTACAGCAATACTGAAGTGCATTTGATGTTGTTACAAAGCAAACATCTTTAATAGAACACTCCTGTATGCCGAGTCCATTAGCGCCTGATCCAATCAGGGTTCAGTCATGTGTTTGTTGTCCATTCTGAACCAAAAGAAATAGTCTGGCGGCAACATCTATCTTTCTATCTATCTCATTGTCCAATTAGAGATGTGAATCCTTCAATCGGCGCAATCAGTAAATGGACATATTCACTTCTACTGAAACTATAGTGGGAAAGTAATCAAATTACTCATTGAGTGAAATGGGTCTGTTTACACTGCACAATTGCTATTGTTTAATTGTTTAAACGACTACTTAATGTCGTAATTTGAGACTAAAAGTCGACTTCCTATAATTCCAGAGCTTTCTGGTTACCACTGTATTTAAAACAGAACATTCGCTTTTCGACCGTCGAAGTTCCAGGTACTTGTGTCAAAAGTGAGATTACGAACTCCTGTTTAGGGTTAGCAGTAAATAATAGTTCATTTAAGGCACATTCAGATCCAATATTTTTCAGATTAGAACTTCTAAATCTTGATGATACATATAAACTAGGTCTTCTATCTTTTATGCATAAATACTTTTATGAAAACCTTCCAGCTTCCTTCCAGGATATGTTTAATTCTTTAGCTGAACCAAATAGAACAAAATCATATAAACTTGAACGGGTTCTCTTTAAAACCCTAGAATGTTTTCCCTCTGCCTTATTTCCAAAAATATGGAATTCGATTGAATTAGAGCTGAAAGAAACTAAATCTGCAAAATCGTTTAAAAGAAAAGTCGCCAAGATCTATTTAGATAGTTATGCAAATTATATCTGTAAAAAAAAAACTGTGTATCATGTGGATAAACTTAGTCTTTACTATCTTCTTCACCCTGTAGTTCATAAACATGATTCTAATAACTTATGTTACCCTCTGTTCCAACCCTTACGCTGAGTATCCTCCCTTTTCTTTATACTCCCTCACCTCCTCCTTACCTTTTACCTGATTTATTATCATTCTTATGTTTAAAATGTACAATGTACATTGTTTTTATCTGCAATTCTCATTCGTTTAAAGTGGGCCAACCAATTAAAACAACCTACTCTGGTTAGGCGGGTCCAAACTACATAGTTAATTGTGATTTTTTTATTTGTATTATCTCGTGCTTTGTAGTTGAATAAAAATATGAATATGAACTTAAAACTAAATAAAAAATTCCAAAAAGGATTTTAAAAAAAACTAAATGATTGGTCAGTCATGCTAGATCAAAGCAAACAAATTGAATTGCAAAACCAACCAAAATTCAGCAAAATGCAGGTGCAGTTCAATGTTGAAATTTTGTAGATATCATGTTTTGAATTGATAATAGACACTGGATGAATGCATTATAATTAGTATAGAAACGTATAAAAGTTGTTTCTGAATTCATAAAATTTATTTTAGCTTTTGAAAAGTTATTGTTTGTTTGATAGAAAATAAAATTTTGTAGTTTGTAACAAGTCGACATGCGGTTGAAATTATAATAAAAATGTTGGAGTTTTAAAGGAAATAAAAACTAAAATTATATTATATTTATTTTACATTTCTATTTTCAACATTCATATATAATATGAAACAACAAAATATACAGGACGCAGGTTTCATCTTTTAGTACATTTTATGACACTGTAGGAAACACACATTTATTTTTATGTACAGGAAGTCATTCAATAAATGAAATAAAATTTCATAAACGTATAACTTTTAACAAATTATTCGCCATAACTTGTAAACTTTTTGCAGGTAAAAAAGTTTAGGTATCTTTAAGTTTGGATTTTAAAAACAAAATTGTATGTATAAATGTTTCTCGATTTCGAGTCTGTAAAAATAATGTTTCAAAACTTAAACTATTATTGTAATACCAAATTCTGTTTGTTAATTTTTAAAAGTATATTTATTTAACGGCAAAAACATATCACCGCAAATTTTATAATGTTACTTCTCTTTTAGATTATTACCATCATTATGTGGCTTGGCAAGACTTATTATAATATTTGTGGCATAGCGCTGACGTATCAAAGTGAAGCATCGCGAAGAAATGTATTAAGGGTCGAAATAAACCTATCCAAGGGGATATATAGGTTTGATAACATGCTCTTTAAATGTTCTTGAACTATTTAAATAATAAATAAACAACGGTTAGGAAACATGTAAGGAAACAGTGCATATAAGCTAAGGAACAGATTATTCTGTAATTTTCTAATTCCAATTTTTTTGCAACTTGATGTCTTAGACCTTAGATATTTCATTCTATGAATTCTAATATATCAACTAATCTAAGTTTGAGATATCACATCTTTACATCATCAGGTTGTAGATGTAGTTATTAGACAAACAGAGTTTGTGGCAAAGAATCAATTCATTTTCAAACAGAGTTTTGGAGTCCCTAAACAGAGTTTTGGAGTCCCTAAACAGAGTTTTGGAGTCCCTAAACAGAGTTTTGGAGTCCCTAAACAGAGTTTTGGAGTCCCTAAACAGAGTTATGGAGTCCCTAAAAAAGAAGGAGAAGAGAAAATACGGGCACACACTCACTACAAAGACTGTTTGTATAATCAATTATCTTTACGAAACCTCAGATGCAATCACTCGAACTTAATCATTAATCGATTAATGAAAATTGATTCGCTAAATTAAACTAATATTCATTGGAATCAATGCACAATGAAAGGAACTGAAGAGTGTAGACTTGTAGTAACCTGGGCAGCGCCATGGGTTCCCAAGCTAGTTTAATGCAAGGATGTAATGCAAGGAAAGTTATTTCAGAAGTGTACGCATCTTTTGTACTGCAGTGTACTGTCTCTGGGCGGTAATGTAAACACAAGACGGATGTTACAGCCTGACATGGGATCCATTTTTCACATAAAAATCAATGAAATATTCCGGTCATGGGAAACTATTATGTGAATTATCAAAATTATCAAATTTAATGCTTTTAACCTCCTCGGATACTGAACGAACACTGATGCATCTATTCTTGTTTACAAATTCCACCCAAAAGAGAACTGGTTTCAATATTTACGCAGAGTATATACGACCGCAATTAACTTTCCTTGCATTACACCCTTGGTTTAATGTATTTTTGCTGAAACTCCGCGAAAAACAAACATGTCAAAGAACTAATTTTAAGAAAACAGACTTCAATATTCTTGATCAGACAAATGTCTAAGAACGAAACGTCACTTAATATTACGTCCCTTGAGAAATGAGCGCAACAAGGTGATAGACCTAGATATAAATGGAGAGGATGGGTTAGATTTTACTCTCCCTAGATCTGGCCAGGTTAGGGTTTAACTCCTCCTGTCCTGATATGTTACTGGACTCAACCCAGTCTTGAGGTTGGACTGGATAAGAACTGGACGAATGCTCAGGGTAGTGGCTTGAGTAGGGACCATCTTGCCCTGGATATAGTCCATCTAGTCCTACTCTAGGCATGGTTTTATACATTCCCAAACCATCACAGCCCCTCAGGACCCTGCAGAGAAACAAGTTAATGTCATTTTATATCTATTTAGTGCTGCTTGGACTAATGTAAACTAAAAAGTTATCGAACTAAGTAAAAATAGTTCAACCATCCAGTGTTAATTCTGTCTATGGAACCGAGTTCTTTGTAAGTCCTATTTTGTCTGCATTTGTAAAGTTTTTGTTAATATAAGTCATGTCTTTGCCTTTCCTTGTCTCATTATAAATTTTGGGTTTTTAAATTAAGCTGTAATATTCTATCTTTAGCAGTTTTTGTCCTGTACTTGTCCTGATATTGATTTTCTCTGCTTGTCCTGTTATTTGTTTACCTGGAGAGAGTATGTCCTGTCCTATCTAGGACTCTGTCCTGGTTATAGAAGTTGTCCTCCTGGACCATATTGTCCTCCCTGGAGAGGAGGGAGGTATTGTGGCTGGAAGGGTTGGAGGATGAGGAAAAGGAGGAGGGGGGTCGGAGGGTTGAGTAGGACGGGTTAGGTGGCATATTTATACTCCTCGTTGAAGCAGGCAGAATACCAACTCGTAATGAATCAGAATCCGACCTAATCAAGGGGAAAAAACTAATTAATTACAAAAAATGATTTTGTAAAGAAAACTTCAGTCCAATCATAATTATAGCATTTTATAGATTTAGTCAGTTAAGACACTTATTGTCCTTCTTTTTGTTGTATATGTTTTTTTTTCGTTCAATATTAAACAAAAAAAGTAAACATTTAATAGTTGGCATATTTTCTTTTCATTTATCATTTAGACTTTATTACAGAGGATCAATACAGCAAACCGACATCTTGTCTGATGTGGGTTCGATCTTGTTTATCGTTTAGACTTTATTACAGAGGATCAATACAGCAAACGGACATTTGTCTGTTGTGTGTCCGATCTTTTTGATCGATTAGACTTTATTACAGAGGATCAATACAGCAAACCGACATTTTGTCTGTTGTGGGTCCGATCTTGTTTATAATTTAGACTTTATTACAGAGGATCAATACAGCAGCAAACCGACATCTTGTCTGATGTGGGTCCAATCTTGTTTATCGTTTAGACTTTATTACAGAGGATCAATACAGCAAACCGACATTTTGTCTGATGTTGGTCCGATCTTGTTTATCATTTAGACTTTATTACAGAGGATCAATACAGCAAACCAACATCTTGTCTGATGTGGGTCCGATCTTGTTAATCGTTTAGACTTTATTACAGAGGATCAATACAGCAAACCGACAAGAACGTACTTATATATATAATTAATAAAAAAAATCTTTTCGATTTTTAATTAATTTATTCTCCTTAAGTTTCTGATTATATGGTATTAAAAGCTTCATTGCACTTAAAATTTGTGTTATTATTTTTTAAGTTCACAAAACTTAATTGAATATTTTCCCAAAATTAATTTAATTTAGAGCGGTTTAATTAAGTATAAATGTAAAAATATAATTGCAAAGTTTGAATTGATTGAAGAGATTGAAAGAAAATCAAAAATAAGTATAAATAGATCAGTGTAATCATTGTTAAAAACTAAATGTTTATAAAACATCGTAAAATGTTAATCCCTGAAGAGAGAATATTTGAAACAAGAGGCGTTAGATGGCAGTCATGAAACATGCTGACTAAATATATATAGCATGTCGTACCAGTACAAATCTATCTAGCTAGAGATGTGTACCGTTTTCGGGAACTAAAAAATATTTCAAAACAAACGAAGGGCGGTGTCTTTCAGAAAAATTGGCATATGCTGGTCGAACGAATGTTATCGTTAAGAAACATAAACGAAAATAATTTAAAATCATTATCAATCGACAATTAAAAAGTGTCTTTTATTTCATGTTTCCAGATTAACATTGGAAAAAAAAACCTGTTTTTACTTGACCAACAATTTTTTTGAACACACTTTTGAAAAAACTTTCGTTTTTACTGAATAAATAATTTTATTTGAACGAAGGATTGTATTATATGAACGAACAATTTAATTGAACGATCTCTCCAAAGAAAACGAACGAAATGTAGACGGAAAATGAACGATAATATTAAAAGCGAACAAATCCAAATTTTTTTGAACGACTAAAAAGAGAAAAAATGGGTCTTTAACGAATAATGAACGAATTAATTGAAAATAATACCGAGTGTTTGCTATTCACAAAGACCATATCATTTAAAAAATTATAAAATCACTCGTCTTGCAATTTTAACTTTTTTTAACTTTCATTAATTTTCATAAATTTTCATTAATTTTCATAAATTTTCATTAATTTTCAAAAATTTTCATTAATTTTCATTAATTTTCATCAACTTTCATTTATTTTCATTACATAAATCGAAAAAAAGTTCATCCTTTTAGGTAACTAAACTAATGGAAAAACTTCCGCTCCAGAAAGATTAGGAAAGCTATGTTTTACTGCACAATGATTTAGAAAATTGTGGTTCTTGTCCAAGGAACAACTTTATCTATTTAACATTAAGAAATTGAGTTTTGCCATAAATTTAGTATTTTTAATCCCTATATTTTTGCAATGTTATGGTATAAAACTTTAAATTTTCAAATTAATACTATTTCATCTCGTTTGAAATATCAAAGGTCACTGGGATGCAAAGATGTAGGAGTTTCAGAAATTCATAGTTTTTTACATAAGGTTCCTTTTTTCCGTTTGTACTTTTTTAATTTTTTGCATAATGCGTAAATGACAAGTTTTAAGAATATTAAATTAAAAACCAAAACGTGGTTAAATTGGAATTGAGGAAACCGTACACATCTATAGTCCTGGTTAGTGTAGTGTGAATGCAGTGAACACATCTATAGTTCTGCTTAGTGAAGTGTGTATGGAGTGAACACATCTAAAGTCCTGGTGAGTCTAGTGTGTATGGAGTGAACACATCTATAGTCTTGGTTAGTCTAGTGTGTATGGAATGAACACATCTATAGTTCTGCTTAGTGTAGTGTGTATGGAATGAACGCATCTATAGTCCTGGTTAGTCTATTACGTATGGAGTGAACACATCTTTAGTCCTGGTTAGTGTAGTGTGTATGGAATGAACACATCTATAGTCCTGGTTAGTGTAGTATGTATGGAGTGAACACATCTATAGTCCTGCTTAGTGTAGTGTGTATGGAGTGAACACATCTATAGTCTTGGTTAGTGTAGTGTGTATGGAGTGAACACATCTATAGTCCTAATTAGTCTAGTGTGTATGGAGTGAACACATCTATAGTCCTGGTTAGTCTAGTGTGTATGGAGTGAACACATCTATAGTCCTGGTTAGTATAGTGTGTATGGAGTGAACACATCTATAGTCCTGGTTAGTGTAGTGTGTATGGAGTGAACACATCTATAGTCCTGGTTAGTCTAGTGTGTATGGAGTGAACACATCTATAGTCCTGCTTAGTGTAGTGTGTATTGAGTGTATTTTTTTAGTGTATTTTATGAACTTTTGCATACATAAAACATAAAAATTAAATTTACCTTGTCGACCCCTTTCTTCTCCACACTTTGAGAATAGCCTTTCCTAGACAAAAAAGTTGAAAATAAAAATAGTAACGTTTATAATATTGTCAGCCTATTTCTAGCAATCCTTTATTTATACTGTGCCATGAAGGAATGTCCGTGACGCCAATTCATGGAATATTTCAGCGTGTTAAAAAAGAATATTTTATATTCCTGATCAGATAAATGTTTAACCATAAACAGGCTGGGGGGGAGCGTTTATATCCTTGATCAGATAAATGTTTAACCCTAAACAGGCTGGGGGGGGGGGGCGTTTATATTCCTGATCAGATAAATGTTTAACCCTAAACAGGCTGGGGGGGAGCGTTTATATCCTTCATCAGATAAATGTTTAACCCTAAACAGGCTGGGGGGGGGGGAGCGTTTATATTCCTGATCAGATAAATGTTTAACCCTAAACAGGCTGGGGGGGGGGAGCGTTTATATCCTTGATCAGATAAATGTTTAACCCTAAACAGGCTGGGGGGGGGTCGTTTGATGCCCACCTTTTCTAGTTTTTTTCCCTAGCACTGTCATTTGTATACATTCACCTTGACATTTTTTTACTTTTAATGAGTAGTAATTTAAAAAGTCTTTTGCAAAATGACTTTTTTAATGAATAAGGTAGGGTGTACACCGTACAGGACGGTAAAACGGCCAGTCACTGGTAAAAAAAAACGAAAACAAAAAAAGCCTTAACTAACACAAATGAATGAAGGAAGTTTTTACCTGTTACTTATTTCAAGTCCAGGCCTTTCTTTTTCCTCGTCTAAAATCCATTTAATTCAAAATCAGATTTTCTATAAAGTAATTTATTATTTCTTATAAAAAGACGTTTTAAGTAAGCTTTCTTAACTGATTACACTCCTCATACTCTTGTTCATAAATGTGAAATATCAAAGGTTTATGATCTCCAGGTTACATAGATATGGGATTATAAAATTATATTAGAATTTGTTGCGAATGTTTAGTTCCGTTTAAATTAAAATATCTATGCTGATGGCGTTGACTTATAATATTTCTGCTACATCAAGTAGTCAAATAGGTTTACACAATCAACTGTTGTTGACATGTCTTTTATTCCTTTGTGATATTTTTCATGTTTTTAAATGAAACAATAATTAAAATAATTATTAATTCTTTTCTCTTAAATGTTGATTATACTGTGCACGTCTGCATAAGTTCCTCTTACATTAGCCACAAAGGCACTTCAGGGGACTGTATAATAATTGAAGCAATTAATTAAAGATGTAATTATATATCCCAGCGGGCAATTCATTTTCTAATCTAATCTAACTAATTACATTACAAGATCTAATGTCAAATATTAACTATTTTTTGGGACGCGCGCTTTTTATCCTACAAGTTTTTGTTTCACCCTGCAACTTCGAACTTTATTAAAAATATTAAATTTCGTGGATTTTTTTTTCCAGAAAGGAAATAAGTTCTTTCCCAAACACAAATTTTCTAATCTCTATATCTTTGCCACCTGATGGTTTAAACTTTTGATGTATCAAGTGTAGCTATGCTATCTAAGAGAACTCATAGTTTCAAATATCAAAGGTCTAAAAGTTTGGGTTGTAAAGATATAAGGATTAAAAATCAGAGTTTGTGGAACGAACTCAATTCTCTTGAGACATGTTAAGATTATACAGCATATTTACGTAAATTGAATGGTTTGCCTTGTTTTTGAATATCATTCACAAGGTCTGGTCCTCGTTCACGTTTCATTTTTCTAAAAATAAAAAATAAACATTATACAGTCTGCAGATAATACAATGTTATTATTATTTTGTATTATTAATGCTTTAATGAAAAATAATTAAAGGTTAAAATATTTTGAATATTTGCATATTTTTCAAACCACAAATCACTCCACACCCCATCTTTAAATAAACCCCAACTCCACCTTTTTAATTAAATGTTTCCAGTGAAATAAGTGTTTGTCGTTATTATTATTGTTATTTTTTTGAATTTTTAGATGAAAAATGAAAAAGGTTACATCATTAATTTTTCTGAAATTGTGAATATTTGTTATTTTACAGTTTTCACAAATCAGCGCCCCCCCCCCCCCTCCTGAAAATAAAACCGCCTTTCAAACGTTATAAAACCAAGAAATATTACTCAGTAATAAATATTTTTTAAGAAGCGGAGTTTTTGTCATAAACTGTCCTCTATGGCTTTGCAACCTGAAGGGGAAAACCTTTGAGTTCTAAACTTCTAACAAAATTCATAGTTAAAAAATCTAATGTCTGCGACAATATATGCGTATAGAAATCAGAAGACTCAATCACTCAATCAAGAAAAAAACGACAATGATTTAACTGTGTTCCTGGTGCCAACTGTACCTTGTCATATATCTGCAGAGCCCTGTGATCAAGAGAACCAGGAGAATAGAGATGAGGGTAAGGGAGCTACCAAGGATAATCCCAAGGGTGGAGCTAGTATCCGTCCCTCCTCCTCCTCCTCCTACTCCTCCTTCTCCTTCCCTCACTTTCCTTTCAGCTATCTGTTTCTCAGGCTCCCTTTACAAAATGATGATTTATACCTTAAATAGCTGGGATGAGAGTGGGCGCGTGCGCCCGCCCTCTAGCTTCTTTTGTCTATACTACCCTTTTTTTTTGACACTAACAATGTTGCAACTTTTTGACTTCTTTTTCACACTTATAGTTTCAGTAAAAGTAAATATTTCCATTTACTGTTACAGCGCCGATATAAGGATTTATCTCTAATTGGATAATGAGCTAGATAGAAAGATAGATGTTACCGCCATGCAATTTCTATTGGTTTAGAATAGACAACAAACCCATGGTTGAACCCTAATTGGATCAGGCATACTAGAGTATTCAAGTGACCCTCCATGAAAAGAAGGAAATGCCAGATTTCCATTGGTACACTTTGAAGCCCTGATTGTCTGATCAAGTATGAATTAGATGTCAAAGTTTTAAAGTTTTTATGATTTTAAAAACTTATTAATTTCAATTGTGGGTTCTCTACAAAACTGACTTAGGTATTTCTACTGCAGAAACGCATTTAGGAATTATCAAAATCAAGCACTTTTAGGAAGAAATTTGTTTTATGAAGAATTGAAAGGCAGGCATATTTTTATTGCAAATAACTTTCATAAAATTGAACTTACTTTAATGTTGTTTGATGCAAATCAATAGCTGAGCTTTCTCCATCCGAATTGTATACAGTTATCCTACAGTTGTATGTGGTTCCAGGCTTCAGATCATTCAGGATAAACTGTATAATTAGAATTTTTATTATCAATAAAATAATGATAGAATTATCAAACTTCTACAGCTTTAATGATTTAAATTTGCTTATTTTTCTTATATCGATATACTTAATTATTTACATGTTTTGTCGAGTTTAACATTTTATGTTTTATATATTTAATTTTCATTTTATAAATCGACAAGTTGTATTCTATGTTGTTATTGCTAATCATGCGCTAATTTTGTTACAATTGTATGGAGAAAGGAAAGAAATTGAGTCTTTGCATCAAACTCAATTTTTTAATCCCTATATAATCCCTATAACCCAATTTCGTAGACTTTAGAGATTTCAAACTATGAATTATCTTATATCAAATAATAAACGTATTAAAGACTTAATTTTTTTCATCCTTTAACGTATTAAAGACCTAATTTCTTAATCCTGTAACGTATTAAAGACTTAATTACTGAAGAGAAGCTAAATATGATTGTAACATGAAATATTTTAATCTAACGTGAAATTCACTTTAGTATGACGTGCTGGTAATAAACTGTATTTGATTAGAAAGGCTTCTATGGTTTGACTGAAATTAATCTGTTAATATTTGGTTATTAATCAGTAAATGAATAAAAATAATATTTAATATTATTATCAATATTTCATGTTAAATGTTACTAATTTATTGATGAGTTTAATGAAGATATAAATAAACTTCATCTTCATCATTTTTGCAAACAGAGTTGTGTACACAGAACTATTGATGTTTATTTGACTATTTGACACCTTAACTTGAGTCTTAATTGTCATCTTTATATTCCAGAGTTTTCACTGTAAAAACTTTAATTAAGTACCTTAGGATTATTCTGATGAACATCTGATGTAAGATTACCAGTTCTGGCCTCTCTACTTACCAGACGATATTTCAGGTTTCTGGTATCTTCGCATTCAACATGAAAACCTAGACATTTTTATTTGTAGCCATGGATATGAAGATTTTAATACTTCAGCGTGTTTATTTTGAGCTAACCATTGGTGAAATCTAAACAGTTGTTCGCGTCAAAATGTATATGTTCTAGTTCATGGAGAAGGAGTTTAACACTTGCCTCAATCTTTAATTTATAGTTGAAAGATCAACATCAAGTTGCAAATAATGTATGGGATAAATTTTCTAAAAATGATTTACAACTACTTTTTAGGGAAGTTTCAGTGGTTAAGTAATATTTTTAATTTCCCAAAATATAATTGATCGTCTTTTCAGATGAACATGCTAAAACTTCACTTCAAACTAATTTGTCTCATTGTTGGGTGATAAAGTTACTTAATCACCCTACAACATGGTGATAAAGTAACTTTATCTACCTGCTTTTAAATAATTTGAGTAAAACTGAACAAAACTATATATGTTATTGAAATGGGTATCATGCGTGCGGAAAAGTTTTTGCTGTGATTTCTAATTTTTTTTTAGTTTGTTCTCGATCAAAATAAACGAATTTTCATTTTGATCTTAAACAAACTAGAAAAATAAAAATCCCGACAAAAACTTTTTCGCAATTAATAATACCATGAATTACATAAATAGATATACTTATTTTTCCCAAGGGACGTTAGGTAACTTAACGTCCTTCTGTTGGGGGAATTATAGGTGATGTTGGTCAAAAAGCATTAAAAATTAATTAATTTTAAAAGCGTGTTCTGTTCATTTGAAATAACACTTTGAAGCGGTTCCAAGAATTTTTAGATGCTTAAAAAATATGATTTTACCTGAATACGTGATGTTTTTTATGACACACCCTTTAGTTGGATTAGGTGGACCCCCCCTCACAACATGAAACTGACAGGGGTGCTCCTGCTTTCCTATACTATTGGATGCCCAGCATTCTAGGGTTCCATAATCCATATCATTTCTGACAAACATACAAATTCAAATTTTGAAGAAATAAAATCTTTTAACTTCATAATTTGACTTTTACATTTAGAATATACAACTATAAAACCTCTTTCTTTCTTTGCTAAATCATCTAATAAACTATGAAACGAATAAAGACAGCAGAATTGATCTAATCTTTGGATCGTAATTTTTATGTTTAAGATCGTTTTCAAATATAATTTGGTATGCTTACATTTTGAGAATTTTACAAAGTAATACAAGTTTTTACAATAGTTTTAAATCTGATGTTTCCTTGGTGTAAAGTGAGCTATGCTATGGTTTCCAAAACTCTTAACATCTTCATCCTACAATGCATCAACCATTAATTTGTAAAAAAAATATTTTTTCAACTACAGAATATGGAAGATTATAGAAAGTAATATTTTGTTCAAAATAGTGTTAAACCGCCATACTGTTGTACTTACATCGTATTTAAAACATTTGTAGTCGAAACCATTTTGGGCCTTAAAACTCATTTTATTAAAAAATTATACATAGGTTGTATTTCTATATAAAAAAAACAAGGCATCTGTATATTATGTTGCCTATAGCTGGCCAAACGGCTGGACCGATTGGGCTGAATTTTTTTGTGGACAATCAGGGGTGGCCGGGGAGTGTTATAGGCTATACAAAATTCGATTTTTTTTTTAATTTGTTTAACATTTTTTTTCACGGGCAACGCCGGGACCTTCACTTAGTTTTTTTATATAATATTGATTTTAATTAACATAATTTAAAAACTGAAAAACTTGTAACGCTTTAGATAAGGATTAAACTGAATTATTGTGATGAACTGTGTATAATTTGTGAACATTTACATGAAATGTTAACTTTAAACTTCTTTTCAGACGTTAAGAATTACTGAGAAAATACCAAAGAAAATGTTTGCCTTTCCTCCCTGTAATATTCTCTACTCTTGAATTGATACTGTAGTATTCTAAACTGTGGATATAATTTAAAATCAAGGCTTAACTTTGAAAATGCATTTTAACATTAAAATCACTGACATTTTCAGTTTTTTCTCCCTTTATTATTATTGTAAAAACAGAAGATTGCAAATTGTAAAATAAAGAAAATCAAGCTTTATCATTTTCACTTCATCAGTTGAATAAAATATTCAAGACTAAACAGATAAAAAAGTTCAAAGAACAGGAAGTTAGCAATTGTCTCAAACTACAATTTTTTAATCTCCATATTTTAAGAGCTTAATNATTTACACAGGTGCATAAAATATAAACACTTTTTGCTAGAAAATGAGCGAAATACGCACAAATATAAAGCGCATACCTCTATGTAATAGGACCTCGAGGTGTTGTTGAATTTCCAGAAAAACCTAAATTGAAAATAAAAATAAAAAAAATTTTCAAATTGAAAAAATGGTTATTTGGAAGAAAGAGACATTTATTATTGTGATCGAAGCAATAAGTGATTTACGAGTTCAAAATACATGGGAAGATTTGTTTAATGTTAAAAGAGATTTTTTGAACTATTACAAGCAACGAGGTTATAGTGTATAGAGTGATGATGAACGCTAATCCTATACTAATTTTATAGGTTATCAACTATACCGAGAGCGTACTTCATATTTGTTTATTATACGTTGATTCTGGCCTAACCTATAGTATATCATTATTAGTTAACAGTTGTAAGTGTACAATACAGTTAACTGAGCACACAGGTAGAGAACTATAATTCCCCCTGATTACAAGTCAATTTATTTAGTTTCTTCAATATTATATTTTGTAGATTAGAATGTATGAAAAATGCTAATGCTAAATGCTAATGAAAAAAATAAAGAACCATTACCAATTATTTAATTTTCAAAACTTTCCTTTTGTACTTTTATTATTAATCTCTCAACTTTCTTATTTTAAATTTTATCCGCATTCTCTTAAACCAGTTAGAAATCAGGAATTCAGTGTGTGTATGTTCCAGACATAAAAATAATGCTTAGTATTGCCTAATGGTAGCTCCACTCAACCATTTCAACGTCCCCAGGGGGGGGGGATAAACTATACTAAATAAAGAAGAACTGAATTCTAGTTTATTGGGAAAGATAGAAATAACTACTAAAAATATGATTTTTGATTTGTCAAAGGCTTTGGATAAGTCTTTTATTGTAACGTTTTCCAAAAACCAATTACATTTTTTATATACAAGTAAAACATTCAAGTTTTTAGGTTTGTTCCATATAGAAACCATTGTATTTGTAAATCACATTTCTTTTGAATCATAAAATTCCAAAGATATGTCAAGAACATAACCGAGTTTTAGAAACCCACCTAAACACGATATCCTTCAATATATCATAATAATAATCCTTAATAACTCCGCACACTGCCAGACTTGCAAGTAAACAAACAATGCCAAAATGTATTCGCATAAAAGAAGACAAATTGACAAACTTTCACAAAAAAGAAGGTTTGTGCATTGCAAGCAGCAAGTTATTACAAGCACTATAAAAACGTTCAGCAATTTAAAGGGATTATTTGATGTATTCAAAAGAAAAACATCAAACCATTTTATGGACGGTTAGCATGTACTAAACAAGATACTGCTAGCTGGTTACCTAGTATGATCTAGTGGGTTAGCATGTACTAAACAAGATACTACTAGCTGGTTACCTAGTATGATCTAGTGGGTTAGCATGTACTAAACAAGATACTGCTAGCTGGTTACCTAGTATGATCGGGTTAGCATGTACTAAACAAGATACTGCTAGCTGTTCTCCTCGCATAGTTTCATAAACCTGTTGCTGACCCTCAGCACAGACAGGGGCATCTAAAAAATAGATAATTTTTTTTAAAGAAGTTTCAAAGTTGTAGAAATGTAGCGTTTAGGTTCTACAATCCGGCGTAAAACATGGTCGTTTCCGTAAAAACTGAAAACTTGTATGATAAGTATTTCATAGAATCAGAGACGAAAAATGTTGTGCACGCTTGATTAATGGTCGACAGAATCTTTTTATATATCTAGATTATTCTAAATCTTGTAAAAAAGGTATTAACTATATGTTTTTTACAATCTACAGTACGTCTACGATGTTACCTATGTACACTATGACCTCTAAAGTGTACGCAATATTGCAGATTTCCAGGCATTTGCCATTTTCTGTTGTGCGCAATGCACCGTAAAATTCCTAAACAGAGAGAGGGTGATTGAATTTTGTAGATCAAGAATAATGATATCTGTGGGCTGCCTGCGTAGAGACTGGCAGCTGGTAGGGTCTCGACTCGGCCCCCTAGCTTGTCCTAGCCGCAGCGTTCGACCCAGAAAGTGTCTTAACCTAACCTAACCCTAAATAAATACTAATTTAATTTTTTTTCTGGATCTACAAAATTCAATCCCCCTCTCTCTGTTTTGGAATTTTACGGGGCATTGCGCACAACACAAAATGGTAAATCCCAGATTTCCAGGATCCATTTTTGGGAAAATATCAGGAAAATATATAAACGGGAACATTTATTATAATTGAAATGATTATATATCAATTTGCGAGTACAACCGCTACAATATTTTTAAAATAGTCTATTTTATTACGAAAAACAATGAATATGCATTTTAAAAGGAAGATTGTTACAAAAACCAGTCCCCCCCTGACCCCCTAAAATACCCCACTGTGGTGAAAGTAAGTGAACATTCTCTTTTGATTAGGTTTAAGACGGTTTGGGAAAAATTATTGTCTGTCTGAAAACAATAATTTTTGTATTCCAACTCAATAAAAATATGAATAGAACTTACATTTGATATTTAGCTTCAATTCTCTACTTGTTCCCTCTCCTAGTTCATTTTTCGCCTAAAAATAGATTTTAATAAACCGTTTTATTCAAAACTAGATTCTTCTTGAAACTTTCCATTTTATTCAAAACTAGATTCTTCTTGAAACTTTCCATTTTATTCAAAACTAGATTCTTCTTGAAACTTTCCATTTTATTCAAAACTAGATTCTTCTTGAAACTTTCCATTTTATTCAAAACTAGATTCTTCTTGAAACTTTCCATTTTATTCAAAACTAGATTCTTCTTGAAACTTTCCATTTTATTCAAAACTAGATTCTTCTTGAAACTTTCCATTTTATTCAAAACTAGATTCTTCTTGAAACTTTCCATTTTATTCAAAACTAGATTCTTCTTGAAACTTTCCATTTTATTCAAAACCAGATTCTACTTGAAACTTTCCATTTTATTCAAAACTAGATTTTCCTTGAAACTTTCCATTTTATTCAAAACTAGATTCTTCTTGAAACTTTCCATTTTATTCAAAACTAGATTCTTCTTGAAACTTTCCATTTTATTATTCAAAAGTAGATTCTTCTTGAAACTTTCCATTTTATTTTTCAAAACTAGATTCTTCTTGAAACTTTCCATCTTATTCAAAACCAGATTCTACTTGAAACTTTCCAGGTCCAACGTTACCTGTACCACCTTGCATTTTCTCTTTCTAACGAATAGAGTTGAGATTAAAAGGAAGTTGAAAAAGGAAGAAGAACTAAGTACATGAAATAGTTTTTGCTATGGGAAAGTATAACCTGGGGACATCACTGCCCAAAAAAATGTATAATCATTTTGTAACGTTTTCATTCTTCAATTTTCTTAGGCTTTTTAAGAAAACGATTATTGCAAAATATCCTCAAAGATTTTGAATCTCGAATTCACAAATTCAAATTTTTTTATTCCTATATCTTTGGAACTTGATGATGTAGACCTTTGATATTTCAACCTTGGATTTTTGATCTAACGGAATTTATATTTTCAACTAGCAAAGGTCAAATCAAAGTTTTGGCAAAGACTCAATTCCTTTCTTTATGCTGAAATTTTCCTGATGATGATAACACAAATGATAAAAATGGCAGTGATATTAATAAAAAGGGGTGGCTTTTATAGTTTTAATTTTAGTGAAACAAACTAATGGCTGCATCAAACATTTTTTTACTTCACACTTCAATACAAAATTACACATTATTTTTAAGTATCAAATTTTTAGGAGTTTAATAAAAATTCACCTGTGCAAATGCACTTTTAAAGAAACTTAAATATTGATTGCAAGATATTAATATCTAATTCTAAAACTGGCACCACAATCTTTGCATCTGCCATTTTATACTTTGTACTATTTTTAGGCAAAAATTTAGCAATATAATATTCCAGTTTCAAAAAAATTTAAATTTGGCTTGCTGAATTTGATACTGATGCACAGACGTCTGTTATATGCACCCCCCCCCACACATTATTTTGGTAAAAAAAGTTTTTTTTTACAACTAATGAATTAATTATTTCGAATATGAATAAGTAACTAAAATATGTGTACTGATTGGTCAATATTTCTGAAATCAATAATATTAAATGATTGTTCAAACATATTTTTAATTGTATATTTTTAGAACCAAATTTTCAAATACCGAAATCACAACACTTTTTTAAACAAACTGTTCAAAATATTAATTTGCGCATGTTAACTTACTCCAAATTACGCAATAACCCCTTGTATAGATACTATCTTTAGAATAATCAATGAAGTTTTTGAAAAAAAAGGTGGTTTATAATATATAGTATCAGATCAAGCTCACTTGCAGGAAATGGTTCATTTGTTGAACCGTCCCAGTTTGGCTACGCTCAGTTTAACACGACCGAAGTTTAAATAAATACTTTATTGACTAACTTATTTTTAAATCTAAATTTAAGAAATCGAAAATATATATATCAAGGTGACGTGGCAGAATCAGAGCTCATCTTGCCGCGTCTGAGTATCCGGCTTCTAACTCCTCAGATCGTCTTCCGCCACAGTACTCCCCCCAAGAAGGAAAGGCGGAGTCCAGGCGGAGCTAAGACTTCTTTCCTGACTTGTCTGTGAGGGTTTCTTCTTGGTATGATTATAGGTTGGTTTAAAAACATCACAGATTTCTTCTTTCTGTATCTTTATTGTACAACTTGGTCAAGCTGTCTGAAAGCTAGTCCGGTGCATCAAATGAACCAGAGTTTTCAGTGTTATGAATCACAATTATATGTTCTTGTACACTTCATTTCATTTACCATCAACCATCAACCCAAGCTTTTATCATCTACTATTATCTATCAACTATATATCAACCATCAATCCCGAGCTCATATCATCTAATATTATTTATTAACTATTTATCAACTGTTTATCAAGAGTTTTCAGTGTTATGAATCTCAATTATATGTTATTGTACACTTCATTTCATGTACCGGGCCGAATTTCAACTAGCCAGAGCAAGCTGTACGGTACAAATAAATACTATATGGGGGAAAACGGGACGGTAAGCCAAAATCAACGATTGAACCCCTTCTTGTAAAATTATGTGACGTAAAAAACATCGGTAATATAGTGGTGCATCATTTCTTTCAAGAAAACTCCATTTTGTTTAATTTAGTTTAAAAGAAACTAGATTTAACCTGGCATGTGAACATTCCTTCCCATTGTCTGCCCAGATTCTGAATAATTAAATTGTTCCCAGATCTGTGAACTCCCTTGCTGATCTCCAATCCCTAAAATTAAAAAGTAACAACAATAAATGAACTTGTCACTAAAGGGACTGTATGCGTAATTTCAAGGAACCCTCCATGCAAAGATAGCAATGTCTGATTTAGAACAGTACCCTTGAAACCTTCTGATCAAAATTGTGTAAGATAAAGCTGTTTTTCTGACTCAAAAAGTGTTAATTCTGATAATTTATCTATTGTTTTATAAGCAATAAATTAGCAAGTCAGTTTCGCTGAGAAACCGCAAATGAAAGGAAACAGTTTAAAGGAACAAAAACATGGATATCTAATTAATCCATGATCAAACAAAGCTTTTAAGGATACCATTTTAAATCAACATTATGATAATTTCAAGGATGGTTCTTTCAAATTACGCTTACAGTTCATCTACAAAAGAAACTTAATTTTAATGTTCTGTCTTAAATATCTCAAAAAATGTCGAATAAAACTGTTGTATTCTCTACAAATATTTTATGCATAACAAAATAATCTTGATTTCTTTCTTTCTCTGTTTTTATTTTATTGAGATAATCTCCTTTTTTATTCTGTGATAATTCCGTTTCTACAGGTAATTCTTATTCTCTCTCTTTTTTCTCTCTTCCTCCTTCTCTTGTAAAAAGTTTGAATAATCTAATAATATTCTTCAAATATTTGGAGTCTTTTGCACTTTAAACTAGTTTATAATTTCCACCACATGACTTTATAATTCTTTTTAAGGATCAAACAAAACAAAAAGATCTCTTTACAGATAGCATTGTAGTCAATACAGAAACTGAGTTCCTGCCACAAACTCATATTTTTCTAATCCTTATATCTCTGCAACCTGAAGGGGTTAACCAATTGATATTTTAAACTTAGACTATTGAATCTAACATAACTCGTAATTAGAAATGTTAAAGGTCTACAAAATCGCTGTGCAGTAATATAAGGATTATAGAATCTGTGTTTTTTTTATTGTTTTATGAACGTTAAAATATTTCTACAATATATTTGATTCGGTTTTTAAACATTTGGATATTTAGCCTTTAAGGGTAAATATAAGTGTTTTGTGTATTTTTCTTGTCTTTTGCCAGAACAAATCCAGGAAAAAAAGTTATTTGTAAAATAAAACAAAATATGCATAATGCTACTAAAGTATTTTTATTCTTATTTAGGGGCTGCGATTCAGAACGGTAGCCTTGACACCGTTATCAGATCAGTAATCTGGAAGATAACTCGTTTTTCTAGGTTTAAAAGTATTATAATTCATATAGGTTTTCTAGAAATGTGCAAGTCACTTTTGTAGATTAAAAATGAAAATAATCAGTTTTAAAAATCATAAACGTTGATATTAAATTCACGCTTGATCAAAAAAAGTTTTTAGGGGTATCGTTGTGAATCGAACAATGTCATCTTTGCGAAGAAGGTCTCTTGAAATTACGCATAAACCATTTTGTGTTTACTTACATTAAATCTCCATGTAATAACTTTCACTGCAGGATTTGCTTGAACTTCGCAAACAAAATAGACATCATTTCCTTCCCTGTAGATTCGTACATAATATTATCAAATATATATTTTGCAAAGGTTATAATGCAAGTAAAGTTAATTGGGGTCGCGTATACTTTGCGTACACATTGAAACCAGTTCTCTCTGGGCGGACATTGTAAACAAGAATATATGCATCAGTGTTCGTTTATTATCCGAGGAGGTTAAAAGCATAAAATTTTGATAATTTTGAAAATTCGCATAATAGTTTCCAATGACCAGAATATTTCATAGATTATTTTTGTGAACATGGATTCCATGTCATGCTGTGACATCTACCTTGTGTTTACTTTTCCGACCAAAGTAAGTACACTGCAGTACAAAAAATGCGTACACCTCTGAAATAACTTTCCTTGCAAATTAGTACCTTGTATTTTGCCAAGTCTAAAATTCTGAAGAAAAAACAACATCTCAAAAGAACTGAGTTTTTGCCACAATCACTGATTTTCCAAACCCTATATCTTTTGAATTAAATGTCAGAGACCATCTGGTTGCAAAGATATAGGGTTTAGAAAATCAAAATTTGTGACAAAAACTCAGTTCCTTTGAGAGGGAGAGGGATATAAGACTATTCTTAAACAAATATTATGTAAATTATGTAAAGCTATTGAATTTCAAAGAACCCCGTGAGAAATTTTGCAAGAGGGAATTTGATCTGCAAAAATTGAGGCGGAAGAGGGAGGAGGGGGGGGGGTTGAACGTTTACAGTCAAAAGTGTACTGCAGTTTCTGGGAGAAATATAAATATAATTATGTTCCTAATGTTTAAACTGTCAAGGTTTTGTCCTAACCGAAGAGATACTTGCGGTTCATCTAAAACATTATTTAATTATTTAGTTAATTGTTTAAATAACCTTAAAACATTAATTAATCAATTAATTAAATATTAAATTAATCTCCAGCGTTCTTGAATTATTTAATTAATGAATTAATTATTTAATTCATCTAAAACATCATTCAATTAATTAATTGATTATTAAAGTAATCTAAAGCGGTGATTAATTAATTATTCAATTACTTGATTCATCTAAAACATTGTTTAAAATATTTGTATTTTCAAAATTTGATAAAGGTTAAACAACATTTTGCTTCAAATTTTTTATTTTATTTTTATTCCACGGGCAACGCTGATCACTTAAACTAGTATTAAATAAACATAAACATCAATAGTGCAGGGTAAACAGACACTTACAAGCATCAGTAAACCCAAAGACAAAAAGGGAAAATATTAGTTGTTTACAGTCTCACTTTTCCACAGTTTTCTGAGTCTAACTGTATGAAATACTTACGTTGAACATTAAGAATAAGTTTATCCGAGATTACTATTTCAGGTATACCAGGAGTAGAGGCTTCGCAGGTCAAACTCAAACCGGTTCTAAAATTTTAACCAGATTTAACCAATTTAAAATGTTTTAAATATGCATTTTACTACATTTAGACAGATTAAACCAGATTAAATTGTTAAAAATGATTTTACTAGATTTAGCCAGATTTAAACAATCTTACACATGACAATGTACAAGTAGGGATGTCAGCGTTTTCATTTTTCAGAAAAACGATCGTTTCGTTATGAAAACGACGACAAAAATCGAGATCGAAACGGTCGTTTTAAAAACGATCTTTTTTATTAAATTCATCGTTTCTTTAATGATCGTTAACGACGACCCCTTCGTTAACGATCGTTAACGAAGAGAGGAAACCGACCTGAAGGGCATCTGTACTTATCATTGAGTAGTTTTTAAGAAAATATCAAGGAGTTTTAACTCCCCCACAACTGTTAAACTTCATGTAAGACGACAATCAATAAAGTTGCATGTAATTTTTTTTCCAAAAACGACTGTTTTGATTAAGTTCGCCGTTTCGTTTACGATCGTTAACATAATTGTCAATCAAATTTTTTTCAAAATCGATCGATTTTTTAAACAATCATATAAAATACGGTCGCAAATCGTTTTAATAAAAACGATCGTTTTCAAAAACGATCGCTATTCGTTTTCTAAAAGTTCAAAACGAGTGGGTCATTTTTAAAAACGATCGTTTTTTCTGAAAACGAAACAATCATTTTTAAAAACGAAACAAAAAACGATGGTTTAATGATCATTTACAAAAACGATTAACAACCCTATGTACAAGACACTTGCCTACAGAGTACAGCCAGATTACACCCGTTTTAGATTGAACCAATTTACTGTTTCTAGCTTTAGCCACAATAAACCAATTTTAGACATAAACAGTTTACAGTTTACTAGCATTAGCCAGATCTAACCAGTTTTAGTTTAATAATTGTACAGTTTACTAGCTTTAGCCAGATTTAACCAGTTTTAAATTTAAACAATGTACAGTTTACTATCTGATAACAGAGATGAGATTTTAAAACTTAAACCCGAGTGTAGCCCAGAGTTGGGCTCAGGTAGAACCCAAGTCAGGATTGGCTCTGATTCGACCAATTAGAGACTACTTAGAAAGCTTTCTCTCTGTAGAAGACAGATTACTAGCAGATTAGCTGTGACAAGGAGATGTAAATTTCGAAAATTCAAACTTTATTTGCAAAGTATGTTAATTTCATATGTTTGATCAAATTTTACAATACAAATAATTCCCAAGATTTTAAATGTACAATTATAAAATTTTTTTCAAAATTTACGATCATCAGCTGCTGAAGCTAGTCCCAAGCATTGAAGAGAGAAAAACCCAAGATGGTTGGTTTTTACTAAACTCAAGGCCATCAGAAACCCGGGTCATCACTTCAGATTTACTTGGGTTTAAGCAGACGCATAGACCGGGTTTTACTAGGGTTTAAGCTTTCAAAGTATCATTTAGTATTAGAGATTAAACCGAAATTAGAAAAAGAAATACCTGTTTTTGAATGGTTGAATTTTTACACGACTTACAGTAACATTGTTGTCTCGATGCTTAAATAAAAGACATTATTAACTTTATAAAAATATTTTTATTTTATTTTATAGGACAGTATAAAAAACCTTTATTCCTTTATTTCTCATATTTTTCCAAAAAATCTTTTAAATATCAATGCATTTTTATATTTTATGCATTAAACCCCGCCCCCCCTCCCTGAAGCCTTTTTAAAGTTACAGGGTTAATACTTAATACTTACTCTGATAGTGTGGCCTTGAAGAGTTTGATTTCCCAGTTTCCATATTATATGGGGGGTTGGGCGGGACCCTACAACCTAGCACATCAGTTAATCAATCAATCAATAAGTTAATCAATTATTTTCTTGTTTCCAGGTGATATTGGGACTTGGACGACGAGATCCAACAAACTCACAAATCAATCAATTAATCCATCAATCCATCAATAATTTCCAAGTTTCCAGGTGATATGGGGGCTTGTGCGGTATTCACCAAAATCACAAGTCAATCAAACAAATCAATTAATTAATCAATCAATTATTTCCAAGTTTCCAGGTGATATGGGGGCTTGAATGGGATTCAACAAATTCACAAATCAATCAAACAAATCAATCAATAAGTTAATCAATTATTTCCAAGTTTCCAGGTGATATGGGGGCTTGGACGGGATCCAACAAACTCACAAATCAATCAATTAATCAATCAATCCATCAATTATTTCCAAGTTTCCAGGTGATATGGGGGCTTGGACGGCATTCAACAAAATCACAAGTCAATCAACCAATCAATTAATTATTTCCCAATTTTCAGGCTATATGGGTGGTTCAGCGGATTCTAACAACCTCAATCATTGAATAAATCAATCAATCAATTAATAAAATTTTCAGCTATGAACTAATCAATCAATCATTAAAAAAACTTTAAAAATCGATTGTACATTAAAATAGTCAATCAGGATAGACTAAACTTTACAAATGTACTTGTGCATAACTGTACAACTGTAAAACTGTACAACTGTACAACTGTACAGCTGTAAACTTTAAAACTATACAACTCAACAACAGTGCAACAAAACAACTTTACATAAGTTATAATATTCAACTGTACAACTGAACAACTGCACAGCTGTACATACCTGACAATCCACTGTTTCCACCACTGCCTCCTTCATGACCCGTTCCTTGTACAGTATAAGTGTTGACACCGGAGGAACTAAATAAATACTTATTTTTCACAAAATATAGTAAAAAGCGTGAAAACGATCCTTATACTTTTTCATCAATTATGTTTGTAGTGTTTAAACAATAAATTTAGTGTTATAAAGTAGTCAAAGTTAACATCATCATATTTGCAGGTTACAGGTTTTACCAGTAAGCTTGAAAATCAACATATTCAGTGCAATTAGTCTAGTATAATGCTTCCACTGCACAATTGCTGTGTTTTATATTTCAGGGGGACATTAGTTCCAAAACTAACACTTGGCCCATTTCTAGAAACATGGGCACAAATTTAAAGATTGGGGTTTTAGGATCCCGGCCCATATCGAGTGTAAAAGTTGATAATAAAAACTATAACCAACATTTTATTTAGCATCAGAAGGACAAAAATTCCGAATTTTAAACTATTTTCTTAAATCAAAATTATAAAAGGAGTTCTTTTTAAATTACAACCCTTGACAGTTTTCAAGACAATGTCAGGTTTTCCATTATCGAACATATCCTGAATTTGAAGCCTTAATTACCTTTTATGAAGCCTAAATTAATTGAATTATATTTAAAATCAAAGTTTTCACATCTTATTTGTTAAATAAGAGAATAAAGTTTCCTGTATTTTATACAATCCATTTCCCGCATTTCTCGTAAAATCTACATTGCAAGAAGAAAGTATAATTAATATTTATATTTCTCAATCCCGTAATGTTTATTTTAATTACAAGGGAACAATATGTTTTTATTTTCTATTTTGTTCATCTTTTACCTTAACAACAAATCTTGTTTCGTGACGTAAGTGCTTAAATACTTCAACATTAACATTGATATGAATTCGAGTAATTGTCTTAAAACTGCAGAATATGTTCCGAAAATGCGACAAAAGCTGAAATGCAGTAATTGTTTCAAAATAGGTATATGTTCGAAATGGAAAGCAAGTTTAAAGTTGTCATTTCTTGCTCCGACAAATAGTTTCTTATAAATAGATGGTGTAGTTTTGTTAAACTCGGCATAGATTTAAAGATATATACTCTTGAAGGCCAAGTGTTAGTTTTGGAACTAAGGAATTGAGTTTTTGCCACAACCTCAAATTTTCTAATTTCTATATCTCTGCAACCAGTGGGTGTAAACCTTTGATATTTCAAACTTAGATTATTTGACCTAACAGAATTAATAGTTTGAAATATCTAAGGTCTACGACATTGGGTTGCCAAGATATAGGGACAAGAAAATTTGAGTTTGTGCCAAAAACTCAGTTCCTTTCCCTGTATTTATTGGACTATTCAAATATATAACTTCTGTCTATTCCACAATTTTATAGATCTCACTGTAGGACTAGAAAGTTAGCGTTTGAGACAAGTGCTCAGTTTCTGTTTAATATTCTAAATTTACATCGTATAAAAAAAGGTTGCAAATTGTAAATTTGTAAATTTGTGCAAATTGTATCTTAATATTTCATTGTTTAAAATTTGGTTCAACAAATATGCATGCCAATTACTTCTCTTATACTGAAGCTAGAAACAAGTTCAATAAAATCAACATGGTAAGGGCTACAAAAATATAAAGCGACTTTGTGAGGTAAAACCAAAAGCTAACGCTAACCTCTAACTATTAAACAATTAGTTTGGAAAAAGTTTCTTTTCTTAATTATTTTTATTGTGTAAATAAAATATTTTTGAAGAAAATTGAAATGTTCAAAACCAAACTGGAGATATTTTGTCAATTGCTTTACGTTTCCTGGGATAATAACAAAAATACCGACAATTTGACACATTAATATACTTTATATAACTTTAGTGAAACTAATTAAAAAAATTCTATTGCAAAGAAAATCTATTATACACATTTGAATTGGTAGTTTCTGAAAATGGAGACCATGTTTAGTTCATTTAAGTTCATATTGAATGAAAAATTGAACAATCTGGTTTAGTTGTTATAAAAATATTATTTTTCAATATTGGAAAAGGGACTATAGGGGAAATTTTGAGTTACCCCGATTAAAACATTAAAACATCTCTGATATAAAACGGTGTCCTTTAAACCTATTTCTGAGTAAAAATAAAAAAAAAATAGATTGTTGTGTCTCTTTCTTTGAAAAGTTTAAAATTCTGAAAAAGTCACTTTTTTACAAAAAAAAAATAGAATATATCATTCATCTTTGATCCAAGGTTTAAAGGGTGTGAGGTTGTAATAGTAAATCGTGCCCCTTGAAATCAAAATCGATTACAGCCACAGCCTCTTTATTATTTAATTAGATTTTTATTGAATTATAAATGTCTTACCTAGATTGCTTCTGTTCATATCAATCAGTTCTAATTTACTTACAAGTTTGCCAGGAAAGGGCCTGAAATATGATTACATATATTAATGTCAAATAACTTATTTTCCTTCATTTAATGTTTTTTTTTTCTTTTTCTTTACAATAATAAACTAATTGTTTAAGAATGGTCTTACTGTAATACTTAAATATTCATTTTTGTTACTTAAATATTCATTTTTGTTAAAGATGACAAACAAATAAATTTGAATTGGATTTTTAAAAAAAAATTCTTTTGATATACAAAATCTTTTTTTGCACCCATTGCAAAAATAACGAAATTGCAATTGCAGGGAATGAGCATTATTTAATTGGACGCATTTGCATGGTGAATTTTTAAAAATTTCCTTTTGTCAGCTTTCCGCATTGTATGCATTGCATAAATGATAAAATGCAGAGGAATTATGTGCAATCCATGCATTGCATGCAAGGGTAAAATATAGAAGGGAAGGAATGTGATAAAAGATAAAAAATGAATAATGCCAAGATCCCACCATTAAATTTTATATTCTTTTTATACAATAGTTCTAGGAAGGATATATATTATTTACATAGATGCCATGACACTTCTTTGTTTGTTTACTTTCAGAAAAGTTTCAGGAATTCATTCGAAAGGGAGGGGAGAGGCGAGGCTGTTGAGGTTCGCCACCATGGATCATGGAAATCTTTGATTTTCAGGGGGTGCTGTCCCCTTCGACATGAAAAGAAAAAATGAAAAGGAAACATTTCGGCCCCCCTGGACGAATTCTTGTATACACTTCCGCATAGTTGGCTTTTGTATGCTTCGCCATAGCTGTAAAGATTCGAAATGCAGCATAATCAATTAAATATTAAATAAATATTAAAAGGGTTTTTGTTTTGGTTGAAAACTTAAATTATGACAAAAGTAACTTTCAAGGATTTTACGATGTTGTTCCTTCAACTTCTTTGGTAAGGGGGGCTCGCACAAACGAAGTATTTATTGCTAAGAAGTTACCTGAAGGATTCAGTTTGAATTATATGCTTGTCTCTCAACCATTGAACACTGGGGGAGGGGTCACCTCCTAAATAAAAATATGATATTCTGGAATTGTAATGTTTTGTTTTTTTAATTGTAAAATATTCAAATTTCAAAACAAATTGTTTTCATGTTTGACAATCCTGTTTTCTGAAACACCTTGTATATCATTTAAGTAGGTAAATTGACAATTACCTAAGACAATGCAGGTTAGAGTTATGTTGTCTCCAATTCTAATCACAGGATCATGTTTCTGTCAGACAAACAAACAAGAAAACACAGATAGAAAAGAAATTGGGAAATAGAGAAAGCTATCTTATTATAAGGGGTAAACCGACCATAAGTTTGACTTTTTTTTGGTTTTGTTTGATAATTGGATGATAAGATAGATAGAAAGATATAAGTTGTTCATACTATTTCTATTGGTTCAGAATAGACAAGAAACACATGACTGAACCCTGATTGGATGAGGCGCAAATGGAATCGGCTTACAAGTGCAGGGCCCCAGTAATGAATACCAAGTTTGTTTGAAATGGAAATATATAGTTTGAAAAATGCATTTTAGACAAGAATTAATTGGAATGCGTACATAGCCTGCCAAGATTCATCTGTACATTTGTTATTCTATCCGTCACCATCAAATTCATGACACGGCATTCAATTTTCTCTCAAAGATGGCTAGGGTAAGGTAATCTGTATATATTGTATACTAACTGAAGGGCCCGGCAGTGCCCCTGGAAAAAAAAAATTTGAAAAAATTAAATAAGAAGTTTTAAAGAAAAAAAATTAAAATTTTTTTTAGCTTATGTTACCCATGAGTGTTCACAAAAAAATTCAGCCCATGCGGTCCAGCCGTTTGGCTAGCTATAGGGGACATACACACGAATGTCTTTTTTATTAAATAGAAGGTTATATCTTTATATACTTTGCTTGACTGTGTGTCTGACTGTTTGTTTTTGTCCAATAAACGGCAAAACGACTGAACCGAACGGGCCCAAATTTAGAACAGTCGATCTCACATGACCCCAGCTAATGTATTATTAAAATTTCAAAATTAGTTACTGACAAAATTCGATTTTCATTAAATTTCGAAAATCCACAATTTTTTTTTTACACATTTCACTATTGAAATAGGAGAAGGGAGCGAAACCCCCTGCAAGCTTTATATTATATGTATCATGCACCAATTTAAAAAAAAAAAAAAACATTTAATACTAATGACTTTACTTTTTGGATGAAAAAAGATGCCCAATTCACTTTAATTCGTCTTGGAGCTGTTTTGTTCAAGTGGTAAAGATGAATTTACTTTTGAGAAAACGACGTCCAATTCCATCTTAAGTTGACTTGAAGCTGAATTGTTTGCGGTGAAGATGAATTTACTTTTCTTCAAGAGTTCTCAAAGGATATAAATAGATTTAAGAGATAAAGGTCCTTCAAACTTTGTTTTTCAGGTTTTTATAATATTGGAGATAATGCATACAACTATTTAGGGCACGTCCTACAGTTGAGAAGAGATTTTGAAGATTTATATTATTTCCATTTATATATTTTTGGGTTTTAAATAAATTCAGTTTTAGTTTTTAAATTATGATTATTTAATAAAAACACGTAGACGTTAAATGGATAAAATACTGATTTTTTGTATTTTATTACATCAGACAAACTTACATCATATTTATTTCAAAATAAATAATTACTTTCAAGGTACTAAAACCCGCTAACTCGATATTCCTTCGGTCAGTGTACATGCAGACCATTACAGCACGCACCGAAATTTTGAAATTTCACCAATAAAACAGAAAATTCCGCAAAATTGCTTTTGTGTTATTGTTTGAACAATAATAAGAACATCAAAGCACCCTATGCTTTGATGTTATTAATATTTTTATTATTCCTTGAGTAATAACACTAAAGGAGTTTTGCGGATGTTCTTGTTATTATCGATGAATTTTCAAAAATGTTCAAATTGTCAAATGTCACACAATGGTGAGTCGGTTAGACCTTCATCAAAACAAAATAACAGAAGGGGAAAACAAAACTACAATCAAAGATGATAGACAGAAGGATAGATAGATAGATAGATAGAGGGATTGATATATAGAGAGATATATAGATAAATAGATTGAAAGTAAGATAGATAGATAGATAGATAGATAGATAGATATATAGATAGATGATCTGCCTGTAAGGTATATATAGATAGATGGATATATAGATAGATATATAGATTTATAGATAGATATATAGATAGATGATCTGCCTGTAAGGTCCAAGTTTATTCTTCTCCAACATTTCATTGTCTGCATAGATTTCTGGACTAATTTTAATTTTTTCAAATCATGAAAATTTAGAAACTTTTTTAAAATTGCAAGCGCAAGAAATTCTTTGACGATTATCACAAAAAGAATGAGAACAAGTGTACTACGAATACATCACGCTGGGCCGTAGTAAATTTGAATTCGGACAGGACCTGCCCAGTTTGTACCGGCCTACCAGATAACAGCGCACAGTACGTCGTACAGTACGTCGCCCTAACCAGACTAACATACGACAGGGGTCAATTTTCTTGGCCTAGTCCATGAGAGGGCTAACTATGAGAACTCTCATGGCATGTTCAGACTTTTTACAGTACCCGGCCTAATTCTGGCCTATTTGACTGACCCCACAATGGCTAAGTCCACCGTGACATATGTAATACATATTCAAAATTATAGCTTTGCTCAAATTATTTTTTGTTCTCTTTAAACTTGTTGAACCCTCTCTTTCTGCAGTCCTTTTAATGTTTCGTTGAATCAAAATGTTAATTTTTGAACAAAATTAAACAGAATTTTATTTTTAATTATTTCCTTTTTCCTACAGCTCTAATCTTACTCCATTAATTAAATCTGTTTTGCATTTGTTTCTCATTTAAACCTGTTTTAATTTTTTATCTGGTTCTATCTGGTTCTATCTGGTTCTATCAGGTTCTATCTGGTTCTATCTGATTCTATCTGCTTCTATTTGGTTCTATCTGGTTCTATCTGGTTCTATTTGGTTATATCTGGTTATACTTGGTTCTATCTGGTTCTATCTGGTTCTATCTGGTTCATCTGGTTCTATCTGGTTTTATCTGGTTCTATCTGGTTCTATCTGGTTCTATCTGGTTCTATCTGGTTCTATCTGGTTCTATCTGGTTCTATTTGGTTCTATCTGGTTCCATCTGGTTCTATTTGGTTCTATCTGGTTCTATTTGGTTCTATCTGGTTCTATTTGGTTTTATCTGGTTCTTTCTGGTTCTATCTGGTTCTCTCTGGTTCTATCTGGTTCTATCTGGTTCTATGTGGTTCTATCTGGTTCTATCTGGTTCATTCTGGTTAAAAAACTGTGTCTGATATCGATCCAGGATGAATTAATGGGAAACACAAAAAATAAAGATATTCTTAACCCTGTGAAGTCTGGAGGTCTGAATCTATGTAAAGCCTAGGGAGGTGTTCCACCCCCTCCTCCTAACTCAGATAAAGGCCTTATAGTTAAGGTATAAGGTTGCCTAAGTTTTCGAGGCTAGCTCATTGAGAAAAAAATTAGATCGCTGACTTTAAAAGTTTGGGTGTGAGGCAGGCCTGACAAAAATATCAAACGCCCCCCCCCCTTTTCTTCGTCAAGCTAAAGTAACATGCATGAAAGATTAAAATTTTAATTGTTTAACTCCTCTTATTGAAGAGATTTTGAAAGGAAGAACACGTTTTGCATTACTAACATGTAATCGAATAAATACGATTTTTTCTCTAAACATATGGATAAACTTAAGACTTGAGGAGCTACGATGTCACAAAGCCGTACCAGCAACGTCACACAAATTTGAACTTCTCCTGCTGACTAGTTTCCAGTGCCCCAGCCTGTTTAGGGTAAATGTTATCCTTGATGACACAAAGGTAAAAGAACTATTGTGAATTAAACAATTAGACAATTAGACAAAAATATAACACTAGAAACTCTATGTGGAGTCTCCTGGAGAAAATTTACTACAATTTTACTTTAAATGTATTTACCTATGACACGAAGAAAAACTGTCTGAATAAAAGTGGGTTGTTGTTCAAAATCAACTCTGCATCTGAAACAAATTTAAAAACATTAAACAGCAAATAATTTGCAATAAATGGGAAAAATGCATACTTAATTTAGCATACAATTGGAAACCAATAATATCAATACTTTCTGCATACAACAAGTTTATGCAAAATATTTTGCAAATATTTGCCTGTATTCCTGTACTTCTGACACATTTTTAAAAGCTGGGGTTCAGAAATTAATTTTAACGCAAAGCTAGAAAAATTTATTTTTTTATCATTTATAAATAGTTCGTGAGCAAATCGTTTTGACGTTTATTGGATACAAACAGACAGACAGACAGACAAGCCAAATTTATATATAGATGACAAGTTAACATAATAAAATGGCTGGAGAAATACAATTCGCAGTATTGCGGTTTATAACGTAAATCTGATAATACAAATTTTACATTAACAACAAATAATCCATTGGGAATTAATGTATTTTTCATAACTTGAATGAAATGTACAAACTTAAATTATTTGATCTCACGTAATTGAGAGTTAAAAATAAGGTGTAGGGGTTAGAAAACAGATTTTGTGGCAAAAACTTAATTCCTCTGAAGAAAATAATTTGGATAAAAAAATACAGATAAATGAATTCAGATAAAATAAATTTTGAAAAAAAGAAAATTTTGGATATAAGATAAAAAGATACAGATAATTATGAAGGACTAGGATAAAAAAAACCTTTTCGACAGGAAAATATTGTATTTTGAACCTCCAGTGAGAGACTATTATGATATTACAGAACCGCTTTTTGTTGTGTAATGTAGGACAGTCATTAGTGCTGTAGACAAATGTTTGACGAAGAACAGAAAAACATTTCCTCAAATGGAAACATCTAACTGAACAGTGTCCTCATAGTTTTACAAAAATACAGATCTCTAACGAAATATATGACAGAAGAGCTGTGTTGTCAAAAGAAAAATATAAAATATAAAAAATAATCGTAAAAATCCTGGTTTAAACTAATTAATTAAATTCTATTTAGCGCAAACTGAACAATTTATAAATGCCAATTCATCTTTTCAGGAGTGACCCCAAATGAGTGATTCACAACAATACCTCCTGTAACGGATAAATAATTATAAAGATATCGTCGTTTTTTTATTTTGAAAAAATTAAAGCTCTCCCAATTGACTTTATTGTCTCGGCTCCATAAATCCACTTAATCAGAGAACTGGATCCATCGAAACTAATCCAATTTAAATCCAGGCAAAGCTTTAAAGGATACCGTTGTGAATGGAACTCTTCAAAGAGAGGGTAACTTAATGTTTATTCAACAGTACTTTTAACCCATAAAGGCGGGGCAGGGGGTCTAAATCTATGTATAGCCTGGGGGGGCGTAGGCCTTAGAGAATAATTATAGGGTTGAAATGCATATTCATAGCCCAATTGTTCATGGCAAGCTCAAAGAAAAAAAATTAGACCAATAACCTTAATAGTTTGGGTGCTGGGGAGGGTGGGAAAAAATGCCTGAAAAAGGGTAAAAAAATGAAAAATATATTTTTGTTTTGTTTTAAACAAATATCAAAGTGTGACACATGTTTCTACATGCATTTCTGTAGCTTTAGTCACAAACAAGTTATGTGCTATTTTAGATTTTTTTTCACATACTGGACTTTTTTTCCGCCCTGTACCCTACACTATAAATCCAAAAAATATTTTTTAACAAAAAAATCCTTTAAATTATTATTCATTAAAAGTCACAAAATCTCACGGCGATAGTGTCAAAAATGAGAGTGCTAGGACAAAAAACAAAAGGAGGGGGGGACGCTAAACGCCCGCCCCCAAGCCTGTTTAGAGTTAAGTTTTAACATTTTTTAGAAATACAAGCTTAAGGTGTAATAGATATCGGAGCCAAATAAAACTGCAAATAGATACTAGAGGAACTAGAGTAACAAGAGAAACTGGAGAGAAAAACAAGTTTAATGTTTTCCAAGAATTGGTGCAAATTATTAATTGTGCTATTTCGAATGATAAGCATGCAAGCAGAGAAATTACACAATTTAAGTTGAGAAAAAAATTGATTTTTTTATACATGGACAGCAATTTTCAAAAAAGGACTTTTTCAACAAGTTCATACACTAACTCTGCTGCACAGTGTTTACGCTGTACCCTTTATTATTCGTTTATCCTCTAGCTGTACTCCTTTTTACTGCTGTACCTGTACTTTGTATACATTTCAAGCTGTACCACTGTACTCTTTTTTACTGATGTACCTGTACTTTGTATACATTTCCAGCTGTACCACTGTACTCTTTATAACTGCTGTACCTGTACTTTGTATACATTTCCAGCTGTACACTGTACTCTTTATTACTGCTGTACCTGTACTTTGTATATATTTACAGCTGTACACTGTACTCTTTATTACTGCTGTACCTGTACTTTGTATATATTTACAGCTGTACCACTGTACTCTTTATTACTGCTGTAACTGTACTTTTCATAAATTCTCTAGCTGTACCCACTGTACTCTTTAGTACTGCTGTACCTGTACTTTGTATACGTTTCCAGCTGTACCACTGTACTCTTTATTAATGCTGTACCTGTACTTTGCATAAATTCTCTAGATGTACCCACTGTACTCTTTATTAATTCTGTACCTGTACTCTGACATATCCTCTAGCTGTACACCCTGTACCACTAAGTGGGCCATTTCTGAGCTTGTTTGGAAGAAACTCCTTCATATATTATTAAATCAATATAAATAAAAATTATTTTTTTTTAAAGAATACTTTTAACGAACTTTAAATATAGAACAGAATGTAAGATATAATATTTAAGTATTAATTAATTTTTTTGGGCTCTGTAGCTATTGATCAAAAATTATTTATTTTGCTTTACACAATTTCTTACATCAAAGGTCAAACAGTCAATATAAAACAGACCATACTACCAAGAGATCACATAAATTCGAAATGCATAGTTCCGTTGATTTTAACAAGGGTTTCTATGTGCAAAACAAATTTTATTTAATTTCAGAAAAGTTTGTCAAATTTTGTTGAAAATTGATAATAATAATAATGAAAAATATATTTAAAAGTTAATTTATCAAAAAAATTGCCTTTGAGGAAACGGAAACCATAATGTGAACAGATTAAGGACTTATTTTCCTTCAAATTGAAAGTTTTTGTTGTGAGTGCCAAGTTTAGACGTTGTCTATTGTTCAAAAGTTTCAACCAGAGATCATTAAAGACAACAATGATATTTTTTTTGAAAAACTATCAATTTAATATTTTCCTGTTAGCTATTTCTATTTTAGGATCCGTCCAATGAACCGGATTTGTCGAGTTCTTCGTTCTGTCATATCTGAAAATAGAAATAAAACATTTTATATCCTGATAAAAAGAACTATATCCAGAATATCCTGTATTTTAAACTGGGTACACTCCACCATTTTGTATGCTTATAATTTACAGCTTATTATGGTCTTTCTAATTTCCTTGATAAAGTTTTACAATAAAAATATAAAGAAAAATACATGAACAAAGTTTTTAACAAATGTGTATTTGTGAACAATCTCAAAGTTTGCAAAAATCTGCAAAAATGTTGCAGTTTTCTATATAAGCAAGTGCTTGCTAGGGATTTACTAAGTATATTACCCACAATGTAATGGTAAACTTTTCAGACTTATATCCGTTAAGTAAAAAACAAAGCTTTAAGGGAGTGGCCGGCTATGTAAAGTAGTTGAACTGAGTATGCAGTCTTGTGGAAAACTTCTTTCGGATTCATTTGAGACATATTAAACTTTTTAAAGATCTGTAAATCCTGAGTTTGACCGCAAATTTGACGTTCAAAACTCCTACTTTGGGGGTGAATACGTTTTTTTTCATAAGAATATACGTTAGAGGGCGATTAATTAAAATAATTTTAAGCCGTCACTAAAGCCTTGATTATCATAGATATGTATGTATATATAGCTGTATTGTAATGTATATATGCACTAATATTAATCTTCATGTTTCCTGACTAAACCTAAACAAAAAATATATAATTTCCGCATTCACTGTTTTGTGCAAACATCAGCACTATATTGATAATAATAGTTATGATTATGTTTCTTAGTTCTAATCCCTTCTATTGAGAGTAGCTTAGCTAAATAATCTGCTGAAAGCTAAGTCGGTTCCTTAATGGGATACCGTCGCGGATTACAAATATTTATTAAACCAAAGAAAGTAATTATATCACAAGAACAATAATTTCGTCTTGAAAAAAGGATTTTGAATCATTGATCTCAATCGTATGCAGACTTGCGGATTAGTTTAAACAACTTCGATAGATCGTAGGGGTCACATCCTGCATGAGTAATTTAATATAGGAATTAAGCATTGATCCTTAAATATAAAACTGTGCCCACATTTGATATCGAGATCAAGCTTTCAAGATTAACGATACTTTACAAAACTTCCGATCTTAGCAAATTATTATTTTAATGTAATGGTGTCAACGATATATCAAAGGGTTACTCTATTAAGTTGCAATTGAGAATGAGAGGATTAGAGTATGAAGCATGTAATCATGCAACATAAAAACTCTTTTTTAGCAAATATTTTTTTACGTGTATCATTGCTTGTACGTGCGGGCAAAATTGATTCTATAGGTTCACATCAAAAAGACCTCGGTTTCATGGTTTAACTTCTAAATTTACTTAACTTTAAAAAAAAATAAATTCAAACTACCACACTAACTTCCACCCCCCTTGCATAACAACGTTGCGCAGTAATTGAAATATATAACCGCATATTTTTGAACCAGTTTTGACATGAAACAAGTTTAATTCAAACGAAACGAAAAAACAATTATAGTGCTAGTCCATTATGGAAAATATATTTATTGGATCCAATTATTGAAAATCTTTAAATGTTTTTATTTATGTTCCACGTCTTTCAAAGTACAACGAAAATGGCGAAAACATCGTTATAAACATTTTACATTCTATTCATTTTATGGATGGGGATATTTTTTTATTTTCTATATCTATTTAATTTCTTCAGTTTTCATTATTGTTAAATATTTAAGGATATAATTTCAACAACATTTAAGAATAAAGTCTAAAAAATCACAAATGATAATGTTAAAATTACACTTATTATAAACAGATGTTGTTTATCCAATCATTCACATTTTTATTTATATACATTGAGACCCATACAACTGTGAAAAAGTAAGACGACAATTAGGATTATTATGTATATTTGATGTTGTAACTTTAATAAGAACCTTTTATTAAAATACACAACACAGTGTTAACCCTTTGATTTTTTTTAATAATTCATGTTATAAAAATATTTACGTTGTTGTTTTAATAAAATTTTGAAGAAGAAGAAGTTTGACTTTAAAAATCAAACTTTAGTCTAACTGTTCAGTCTTCCTATGTTAGAATTTAATGAAACTTTTGTGTTCTTCATCACTTATGACCACTTTATAGTAAATTTCATTATAGCACGGCAAAACATAATATTCATGTTATAGACAATCATTATGGTTCTCACTTTCTTTTTTTAAAGGAATATAAAATATGCCTAGAGTTGATAAAGTTGTGTAAGAGAAGGAAAAACTAGGAAAAAGTTGCGAAACTAGAAGCAACAAAACTTTTGCAATAAGGGAACAATTTCTAAAAGAAATATAATAATAAAACAACAACAAAGAATTGAGGGAAAAAAGTAATTTCATAAATTGTTTCTTTTAGAAAAAAAATATTATTTTGCAATAAAATTATGCTGATTGTTTAGAATTGCACTTTTTTCATGATACTTTTTGATTTTCGGGATTAAACTAAAATGTCGAAATAACCAGGTTGCAATAAAATATTAACAAAACCTGTCTCCCTTTTTAGTTTTTCATATTTTAGTAAGTATTTTTCGTTACAAAATGAAAAATAAAGAATTGAATTTTACTTGACAATTTGTTTTTCCAATATTGAAACCTTAGTTTTGCCAGAGACAAAAACTGAAATATTTTGCTAAATTCACGATAAAATATGGAATAAATTTGTCATTTTTAAACAGATACAGAAATTTAAAAGAAATCTGTGTTTTGTTATGAAGTTAGGTTAATTCAGTGTGTTTCTTGTATATACATTTTAGGTGTTTCTCTAAAAAAAAATGTTATAATATCCAAAATATTGTGATAAAGGCTTAATATTCCTAGCTGAACAATGCCTTGGCCTTGTCAATTTGTTTACTTAATTTGGTTTGTTTACAATCAGATAATTTTTAGACCTGTCTCCTGTATACGTAAAGTAACATTCATCAACCCTGCCCCGGAGCAAAGATTTGGATAAAATTTAGTTCTTTGCTCATAAAAATTGGATCTGATTCTAAAACTTCAAGACTACAAGAAAAACTAAAAGATATAAAGAACAAAAACTATTTTGGCGTGATTGTTTAATTACAATCAAAGTAACTCACAATTTAAAGAAATAGACCATAAACATTTTTGTCTTATAAAATATCCTTTTTTGAGGAGTTCAATATGCTACTTACGTGTAGAAAGGTGTCAGAGAATCATTTTTAAACCAGAGAACCAATGTAGTTCTATCAGCAGGTAAGGATGGAGTAATATTACAGGGTAGTTCTACAGCTCTCTCCAGATACACCTCTCGGTACAGAACTATATCTAAACAGTAAATATATATTTAAAGTTGTAACCACTGTTATGGTGTTTGTTTGTTTGTCCGATCTGAACTCATAAACCCCTTGACCGATAAGACTTAAATTTTGATTTAAATTTGACCATGGGAATTTTCTTAGTTTGGTTTTGAGATTCTTAGTTTAGTGGGTCCACTTTTAACAAGAAAAATATCTAAAATCGTAATTTACGACAAAAGACGGACGGGCGGACGACGGTGGAAATAACTTTAACTCTCTTGGGCAACGTTGGGTTCATTTTTTAATATTTCTCCTTCCACACTTTTTTGAATAGTTTAAAATGTTTTAGCTTTCAGCTGTTTTTTTACTTTTTCTATTTCGGGCTTTAATAATCATGAGGGACATATTTTTATTTACTTTCATCGAGGAATTATTTTGCATAAAAATTATTTTGCATAAAAATACTTGATAGATAATATTTTGCAAATAGTTCTAGATTTGACAAAAAAATGAAAAATTTTTGCAAAATTTCCTAAATGTTTTTGGCACTACTTAGAACTAAAACCTTGTAGATATCTGGATATATAGTAAGCGACGTTATCCATATCTGTATGGTGTATACCCCTTAGAGATAGTGTTAGGTTAGATATCATGTTCAAGATATATTTCTTGTATTATCCAAAATATAAGTCAGGGCTCATATTTAAAAGTAAGAAATAAAGAAATTGGTGTTCAATGTCTTATACAATTTTATACACCAGGAAGATTAAAAAAATAAAAATAAAAATGTTCATACAGTTAACCCTATCTCTGCTGGGGTACTTGAAAACCAGGATATGCTGGGGGGGGTAAATTTGACCCCCCCCCCCCCTCTAAATCCCATTTTTGATGGCCAAATATGACAAATGATACATCATTGGAAAGCTCTTGTGCTCTACTTTTAAATCTGCAAAAAAAATTGCAAATTTGCAAAAATTGAATTTTTTATCGCAAAATCCAGTTATATAGTAAAAATGTTTGCAAAAAAAAACTTTCCAAAAAATGAAAAACTATACATTTTTGAAAAGCCCTTGACCATGCCATTTCAAATATGCAAAAATCTTTGCAAAATTTTAAATAACCTGATTTTTAATCAAGACAAACTGAAAATGTGCAAATTTCCTTCGACAGGTTGTTTGCAAAAATTTGCAATTTTTATCGCAAAACTTGTGCAATTCGTTTCCTTATGTCAAAAGCTTTCCAAAAAGCTAAATTTTATCAAAATCTGACAAGTGGAAGTGGGTCAAAACAAAGATTTAGTTTGTTACAGGAAAAAGCAGTCATTCAGGCAGTGTGCCTGAGGACTCAGGCAGTTAGTATTATAGCCCGGTTTTAGGCCTAAAGGGAAGGCTTTGGGTATGTAGGAAAAGTCAGAAAATTTCCACAGCCTCAGACCAATACTTTTTGAGCTATGTAAAAAAAACTACAATGGGGGATCAATTTGACCTCCCCCCCCAGCAGGAATAGGGTTAAACCCTAAATGAGCCATACATCGAAAGAATTTGTAAAATGTCGTCTTTACAATTTATTTTATGTTATTTTACTAAATCACAGTATTTGCCAAAATGAATAATTAGCCAAGAAAATGCGGGAACAGTTTTAAAGAGCTTCATATAATCATTTAATTAAAAAAAATAAATATCTACAACATTCCATTATCAAGTGAAGAATACGACATTTGATAAATTCTTTCGATGTATGGCTTATTTCGGGTTCAACTGTAGCAAATTATCGAATTGCAGTAATTTCATCAAAAGTGTATTTTAAAACTATCGAAAAACTAATAATACGACAGAGTCACCCCTGTAGAGAAACAAAATGTATAATATTTAACTATTACAAAATCGGTCTAAAAAATCCCCGCCCCGCCCCAGGAGGGGGTCCTGACAATTCTTTAGTGTTGGGGTCAATATCTTGAAATAAGTTTTCTATAATTGAAAAAGTTGTTTCAAAGATTTAAACCTTAATCTAAATATTCCGTGCAGTACACTGATTACTCAGAAACTAATCAGGGGTACCCTTCCCATAGTAACTATCCATTCTGTACAGGGTGTCTCTGATTTAGTCTATATAATCAGGGGTACCCTTCCCATAGTAACTATCCATTCTGTACAGGGTGTCTCTGATTTAGTCTATATAATCAGGGGTATACCCTTCCCCACTAGTAACTATCCATTCTGTACAGGGTGTCTCTGATTTAGTCTATATAATGAGGGGTACCCTTCCCCACTAGTAACTATCCATTCTGTACAGGGTGTCTCTAATTTAGTCTATATAATCAGGAGTACCCTTCCCCACTAGTAACTATCCAGTCTGTACAGGGTGTCTCTAATTTAGTCTATATAATCAGGGGTATACCCTTCCCCACTAGTAACGATCCATTCTCTACAGGGTGTCTTTGATTATAGTCTATATAATCAGGGGTATACCCTTCCCCACTAGTAACTATCCATACTCTACAGGGTGTCTCTGATTTAGTCTATATAATCAGGGGTATACCCTGCCCCACTAGAAACTATCCATCCTCTACAGGGTGTCTCTGATTTAGTCTATACAATCAGGGGTACCCTTCCCCACTAGTAACTATCCATCCTCTAAGGGTGTCTCTGATTTTAGTATATATAATCGGGGGTACCCTTCCCAACTAGTGACTATCCATCCTTTAGACTCAAGTAAAGACTTAAAATAATTCAATAAACATGTGCACTGTGCAGTGTAATCAGGCTCATTTTACGTTATAAGTGATTTAATGTCTTCATAGTAAAGCTCTTTGCTGTGTAACAACATCAAATGCACTCAGTATTGCTTTAATGTCGTCTACCTATTCTACAGATTTTTGGTTATCACTTTATACATATATATATGTGTTTGCTAAAGCTAGCCAAACGGCTGAACCAAATTGACTGAGTTTTTTTATGAGGAAACCACGGGTATCACTAGGGTGACGTAAGCCTAAAAATAATTTGGAAATTCTTGAAATTCCCCGGGCAACGCCGGACACTTCAGATAAAATCATGATTTGATACCAAGCTTGGGTAAACGGCTTGAGTAACTTTAAAAAATCTGGGCAACGCCGGGTGCGCGCGCTAATAATCTTTATAATCAATAACATACATCGTCTCTCAGCATTATTTCACAATAGTACAAATAGTGTCTCAAAATTATCTGTAAATGGTGTTCAAACAAATAGTTTCAAAATCATTTCTTTTCAACCAAGTTCCGTTGAAACTGAAGTTTTCAGGTTTAAAAAAACATGGGGGGAGGTTAGAATTACTATTACTTTTGTGGACTTTCAAGTGACCCTGCATTTATCTGACAATTTTTCTTCCTTGTCTGCAATATAAATTCGGAAGTAGTTTTTTCAGAATGCATGTAATAAAAACTAAAAATAATAAACTTAGATTGATTTAACATTATATAGAGAAATTGTAAGACTCAGGGGGAGTGGGGGCAGGATTTATTTAATTTAATTCACTTCAATCTGGGGAAATTGAAAATGTAATCTTATTTTTGCGGATTTTCTGAGATTTCCAAATCTTTCGAATATAAAATTCCCATGGGCCAATTTTACAGTCAGTGATAGAGTTTGAGTAACGATATTAGACATTTATGGAACCAAAATAAAAAAATTGGAAAATATTTCATAAAACAATTTCTCATGGCTTATTCTATCAGATTTTTGTTTGTAAAAGTAATTTGAACCAGCTATTTAAAATAGCAAAATAATTCAATTTTCGTTTATCCGACCTTTCCGATCCTTGGAATCGTGTGTTTTAATTCAAATGCAAAAAAATCTCATTTTCTTGTTCCAACATATTCTTAATTCTGTAAGTGGCTCTGGTAATGGAATAATTTACATGGAATGAAAAATTTAAAATTCTAAAGTTTTCTGTGAAATAAATCCTGTCGTTAAAACCTTGTTAAGTCGAAATGTAATATATTCAAACTCCATTTTATTGCAGAAATGGTGGAATAAGAGATAAACTAAGGAAGTTTTAAAATTTTGCCTAGAACGCTTCTTTATAAACTTAAGCACTTTTAAAGGACTTTACGTTTTAAGGAAACCTCCATGCACATATGGCGATGCCCTAATCACAACGAACAGTACTAAGGAAGATATTTTCGTTTTTCTAGGCTTTAAAGTGATTTATTCTGATAACATTGATACTTAATCATACTTCATTAGGTAAAGCTTTAAGGGTATCATTGCGAATCTTTGAATGAAGGATCACTTGAAATTACGCTTATTATAGTCCCTTTAACGCTTCCAATTTTAATATGCATAGTCCCTTTAACGATTCCAATTTTAATATACAAAAAGTAAAAGCCGGTTGTAATAATCAAACTAAGTTGAAAGCCTGATGGACACGTTTAGTTTCTCGAATGCTGATACCAAGGAGTATGTAATAGAAGGGAGATACAACTGACGCGGCCCACCCTACCATATGATTTTACATGCTTTGTATAAGAAATATTCAGAATATTAGGTTATTGTATACACGGTATTTATACATCAGACAAATATTTCTTATACAAATGAGGTACCGTCTGCAAAGCATGTATAATCATATTGTAGGGCGGGCCGCGTCAGATGTATTTCCCTTTAAATTCCATACTCCTTGGCTGAAACATAATTTTTATTTTCACTTAAACATTGGTTCATTTTCATTTCATTCAAGAATATTTTGCTGTAACCTGATAGTAACCTGGTAGTAACCTGGTAGTAACCTGGTAGTAACCTAGTAGTAACCTGGTAGTAACCTGGTAGTAACCTGGTAGTAACCTGGTAGTAACCTAGTTGTAACTAGTAACCTGGTATTAACCTGGTATTAACCTGGTAGTAACCTGGTAGTAACCAGGTAGTAACCTGGAAGTACCCGAGTAGTAACCTGGTAGAAAAGTTTAAAATTTTATTGTAATGTAATTATATTTCTTATTGTAATTGTAATTAATTTATTTATTCTTCCTTTGTAATTGAATAAACATATA